TAACCCTCCCTGTGACCCCAACACTAACCCTCCCTGTAACCCCAACACTAACCTTCCCTGTGACCCCAACACTAACCCTCCCTGTGACCCCAACACTAACCCTCCCTGTGACCCCAACACTAACCCTCCCTGTAACCCCAATTCCCTTGTAACTCTCATATAACCCTAAAGCTAACGCTCACTGTAACCCTAACACTAATATTGCTCATAACACAAATTCCAATACTAACCCTATCTAAATTCTTTGTAGCACTAACCCTTCCTGTAACCCTAACACTGACCCTCTCTGTAGATGAGTTATGGGCCCGCGCTAGTATTTGGTCCTTCTGTACGTCCGAAAAAGTCACCCACATGTCCCTCTCCCATTCTCTCATAAAGTACAAAGAACCTCTTGAGCTTATTTTCAATAACATTTTATACATAAGAGATAGAGAGCGACTAGAGGGGGACCTAGAGTCACATCATTTTTCAAAAAAAGTTAAAGACCCAAGTGGCCTAATTAGACTAATATGTTCCCGAAGGAAGTTACTGAGTTGTAAGTAGCGTCAAGCATCTAAAGGAAATGTACCCCTTTTTTCCCTCAGTTCCTCCAATGGGATAAGAGCGTTCTCCACCATAAATCTGCCCAAACGAACATCCCCATCCACCACCCAAGTCCGAAAATATGATAAGTGCTCTCCTGGTAAAAACCAGCTGACCCTCTCTGTAAACCCAACACTAACCCTCCCTGTAACCCCAACACTGACCCTCCCTGTAACCCCAACAATAACCCTCCCTGTAACCCCAACAATAACCCTCCTTATAACCCTAACACTGACCTTCCCTGTAACCCCAACTCTAACCCTCCCTGTAACCCCAACAATAACCCTCCCTGTAACCCTAAAACTGACCCTCCCTGTAACCCTAAAACTGACCCTCCCTGTAACCCTAAAACTGACCCTCCCTGTAACCCTAAAACTGACCCTCCCTGTAACCCTAAAACTGACCCTCCCTGTAACCCTAAAACTGACCCTCCCTGTAACCCTAAAACTGACCCTCCCTGTAACCCTAAAACTGACCCTCCCTGTAACCCTAAAACTGACCCTCCCTGTAACCCTAAAACTGACCCTCCCTGTAACCCTAAAACTGACCCTCCCTGTAACCCTAAAACTGACCCTCCCTGTAACCCTAAAACTGACCCTCCCTGTAACCCTAAAACTGACCCTCCCTGTAACCCTAAAACTGACCCTCCCTGTAACCCTAAAACTGACCCTCCCTGTAACCCTAAAACTGACCCTCCCTGTAACCCTAAAACTGACCCTCCCTGTAACCCTAAAACTGACCCTCCCTGTAACCCTAAAACTGACCCTCCCTGTAACCCTAAAACTGACCCTCCCTGTAACCCTAAAACTGACCCTCCCTGTAACCCTAAAACTGACCCTCCCTGTAACCCTAAAACTGACCCTCCCTGTAACCCTAAAACTGACCCTCCCTGTAACCCCGACACTAACCCTCCCTGTAACCCCAACACTAACCCTCGCCTGTAATCCCAACACTAACCCTCCCTGTAACCCCGACACTGACCCTCCCTGTAACCCCAACACTAACCCTCCCTGTAACCCAGCACTGACCCTCCCTGTAACTATAACACTGACCCCCCCATTACCGCTAAGGTTAACCCTCCCTGTCATTTTGAGGCTAACCCTACTTTTAACCCCTTACACTAACCTACTCTGTGACCCCCAACACCACCCTGTCCCAGTTCCCCCAATGAAGTTATATCTAAATTGGGCTGTACACAGTTATACGCAGACACACGCACGCACGCACGCATGCACGCACACACTGAGGGACGGGTCGCTGTGTTTCATCTTTTTTTACCTAAATTAAAATCATTAAAATCATTAAAATTTGGGAAATGACACCCAAAAAATGTGCTGGCTCG